CTATAGACACAGTAACCAATAAGAGCTTGTACTCCTTACATTGGAATGTCAGGTATTATGCATGTCAGAGTATGCTCATATGGGAAAGAGAAGTTGCATAAGTTGTAACATCTAGACTTTTAGTCCTAGAAGTTCCAGAAATAGCCTAAATTGAATAGGTTACCAGACCCCTGTGAGCAGAAGTCCCAAAGACGAGAAAGGAAGCTAAAGCAGTTTCAGGGACTAAACTGCAAAGTAAAAGTTTTCAGGGGTACAAGTATAATTAAGGTTAGAGGCTCCAGTAAAGTCTCGAAGGCCCAAAAAGAGAAAATAGGCTAGATACAGGCCAATGGGTAAGTTAGAAACCTTAAAGAGATGGTTCTATGAGGTTAGGCTTAAGTAGGGGTAAAACCGTAAATTCAAAAAGTTATGACCAGCAAGGGCAAAAATGGAAGAGTGTACAGAAAATTCCAAGAAAATCCCAGAAAATGGGAAATAATATTCTAAGACTCTTCTATGAAGAGAAAAGATGAAAATACCCCTGAGGCAGCTTAAATGGAATTTATGAGGTTGTGACCGGTAAAAAGTATACCGTTTGAGGTAATTATTTGAAATAGCAAGAGACCTCAAAAATGTATACAAAAATGAGGTTAAATGGTTGAAAGGTTGTACTAATTTATAAAATTAGTCCCGCAACCAAAAGGCCAGTAGAGTGGCTTTAAGAAATTAAAGAGCCGGTTTTGCCGATAAAAGGGTATTTTAGTAAATGAATTTTATGCAAGGCTTAAAGGAAGTGTTATGGGCTAAGAAAATTCATAGATACTCTCTAGAATTAAAGAGAATTTATGGATCTGACAGAAAATAATTACAGAGGCCAGAGCACTGTAATTATAGAAAAGAAGTTAAACCCGGAGTAAAAGTGCACCGATAAAGTATTAATCAGAGTCTTGCACTTTACTTGGGTCACAAGTCGCCACTTGTCAAGCCTTTAATGGATGGTAATTAAAGCTGTCCAATTGTCAAGCTACCATTGGAGAGGATCTTGACTTTGAAATTTAATTACATTATGATTTAAGTTAATTAAGAGAGATGATTAAGATTAAGTAGGCTAATGACACTTGGCATAACATTAATGATGGTTGATGGGATATTTTGTACACATTAATGAGCTTCTTCTCCCCCTAATTGCTGATGGAATTTCGTCCAAGTGAGAGGAAGAGGGAAAAGAGAGGGTTTTGAAGGAGAACCAAGAAAAAGCTATCAACTTTGGTCATCAATCAAGGACTCAAGGTGAGATCTTGGTTCTAGATGTGTTCTTGTCTTGCTTTCCTTCTCTTTTAAGGTTGAAAAATCTGTCTTCTCTCCCTTTTGATGGCTGGTCAAAATGGTTGATGAGTGGGGAAGGGAGTTTGGTTGTTAGATCTTGCTAGAACACCTCAGAGTATGGTAGATCCAAGTGGATCTATGTGAAAATTGGAAGAATTACGTGCTGATTTGATGGCTTTTTCGAATTAGTTACTGTTTATATCTGGTTCTGAAATTTGGCATGCTTAAAGTACACTCTGTGAGCTTTAAATCCATGGGTAGAACACTTCATTTGGATATGTGTACGATTTATGGTGATTTTTCAAATTTAGGGTTTGAAATCTGGAAACAGTGTTAAGCTTTTGGAAGGGTGTCGAGTTCCGTACAATTTTGGTACTGTTCGGCGTAGAATTGGTTCCTGAAAATATTTTTCCTTTAAATTTAACTTAATAATATTTCAGTGAGACTTGGAAGCACTCAATTTGGATTTTTATAGATTTAATTATGAATTTTCAAAGTTGAGCAAAAATTCTGGAGATTCTGCGTGAACAGTACCGCGAACCAAAATTTCCAGATTTGATATTCTTGAATCTAAAGCCATCTAAAATGGTCCTAATTGATAGGAAATAGATCATAAGGATGTAAAATGATAAGATTTATATTAGAAAAGTTAGAAAGAAAACCCTAAGACTAAGAGAAAGGGTTGAGGTTCAAGAAAGCTAGTCTTGAACTTTATGTAATCTAATGGTCCTAATGGATTGTGTCATCATTATGGTTATGTTTAGGACCTTTGGAACATCCAAGAGGATGTTTAGTGATGTTGACCAAATGCCCACATGGTTGGAAAGTCAAGGGAGTCAAAGGAAAAGTAAGAGGAAAGCTTAAGGTGCAAGGTAGTGAACTTACCCTTTATGTGCTTGACATGGTATGCTTATGTGTTGGTTTGTATTTGTTGTTTGAATGATGTTGTGACATGATGATTGTTGCTGGAAATGCTGTTTTTAATATGTTCCCATGGCCATGCATTTTTATACCAAGCATAAAGCATGATGGCATGTCACTAGTTAACTTAAGTTTATGAAAAACTACATACCATACACTAGCATCCATCTTGTGCATGTATGTAGTAATGTTTGCTACTGAGATTCCCCTGAATCTCACCCCCTCCCTAACCAACCATTTAGGTCAAATCAATGATGGGCACTAAGGGCATGAGAAGCAAGGAGAAGAAGTGGAGAATTATTAATGCTAATGATTGATATTATTATTCAATGTATAATTCTCCTATGTTGTAAGTTATGTTATGAATGCCATCAATTCAATGTATGTGCTTAGGATGTTTATGGCATGAATGAAAGTATATGAGCATGAATGGGAAAAAGTAAGCCCATGTTAGGTATGCCAAAGAAATAAAAAGAATTAAAGTAAAGAGATATTAAGGGATAAAACGTAGGTCCTGAAGCAGTTAATTTCAAGCTTTAGTTCGACCAATCATATGAATGAGTTAAGCTACAGAATTTGGTACACTTATAATGCATATCCCAAGCTTTAAAATGAGTGGTAAATCACATCATTTGGATGTGTATACAACGAGATATGAATTTTCGAAGTTAAGGCGCAGAATCTGGAAAGTCTAGATTTTACCAAATGAATAGTAATTTTAATCCAATAAACTGTACGTTTTAAGTGAGGATGAGTTCAGTTGAATATTTTTCCCTTAAAGAGCATTGAAAGATATTTTTGTAGAATTTTGGAACACCTACATACGATTTTTCTAGAATTAGTTATGATTTTTCAAAGTTGGACCTGTAATCTGAAAACTGGACAGTGAACAGTAATTTTTCGAAAATTAACGTCCAAATTGAAATTTTTAAGCTTAAGACCATCCAAAGTGGTCTGGAATGGTTCTAAATGAATGCTAAAGTATTATATAAGTAAGGTGTGACATAAGTCCTCTTGTTGTACTATTTTAAAGTAGTTAGAGACGGTAAGAGCAGATAGAGGAGTAAGAGAGCTCCTAAGGCAGATTGGCTTAGGCACCTAAAGAAGCAGATAGGTGGCCTGGAGAATTGAATGAGGCTTAAGAGAATGATATTGGCTGTTGGAAAAGTCTTGGGGAATAATCAGTCAAGTTACCAACTAAGTGCCTGTTTGGATTCACTTAAATTGAGCTTAAAGTCAGCTTAAATTTTAAAATAAGCTGGGTTGCAACAGGGACCTGTTTGGATTCACTTTTTTCCAATTGGGCTTATGTGCCAAAAGCCTGATTCTACGCCCAATTGCCATAAGCTAGAGGAAGGAGCTTATGCTTAACCTAGAAGAGCTTTTGGCGGAAAAAAAAAAACGAGAGAAGCTGTTTGCCCGTTCCTACACATCAGAACTCAGGTCCTTTTTTCCTCTCCCATTTTCCTTTTCCTCTCACAGCTCGTTCCTTTCTCACCGAGGAGTCACACGCCATCTCTGTAGCTGGTCGCCCCGCTGAAGGTCCCTCTCTGGTCGCCGTGAGCTGTGGCGTTGTCATCGTCGTGCGCTTCGAGTCGTGGGTGTGAGGTGTCCGTGGTCGGCTGGAGGTGCTTCTTCCTTGCAAGTCCGAGCTGGTCCCTCCGTCTGTAACCGAGGTCGCCGCCGTCTGCCTGTGGTTTCGAGCTGTTCGTGGATCTTGTCTTGCGAGTCTGATACACGGTGGGATCTATCTCTAGCTGCCTTCGATTCGGTTGATCTGTTACAGGTTGGTGAGTAAAATTTTTTCTTTCTTTTCTGGTTTGATTCTTGCTTGGATTTGCTGTCGCCGGTGGAAGTCAAGAGTTCTCCGTCGCCGGTGTTCGATTTATTATTTTTTCGGTCTGGTTTGTTGCGGTGCTCTGTCTCTGGCCGGTAGTTATTTTTATTTTCATGGTATTTTCATGGTCTCCAGCCTCTGTTCGCTGGTGGTTCTTGTGGTCCTCTGTTCCTGCTGGCTGGTGGATAATTTTATTGTTTGCCTTCTGGTTTTTCGACGGCTTGCTGGTGGTTTTAGGTGAATTAACGGGAGCAGAACGTAGAGCTTGTATACGTGATGAATCATTCTTTTTTTTTTTGGTGAAAACGTGATGATCATTCTGGATATTGTATAAGTGCGTATGAGCTTGTGTATATGTGTATATCAGAGTGTTACACTGATCATTCGGTTGCAATGGTCCTGGAATTTTGAAAGAAAAATGTACAAAAAAAAAAAATTTTTTATGTGAAATAGATTGAAGTGTATATCAGAGTGTTACACTGATCATTCAGTGGTTTTATGTGAAATAGACTGAAGAAAGTAATTTGATAACAATTTTTTAGTCCTTATAATGCTGGTTTTTAATAATGTAATTAACTACTGAATTGTCTTCCCTAATTAAATTTCTATTAAATAAGTCATTATTAATTAAGTTTCTGTTAAAATATGGCAGTTCTAATTGAAAGATGAACAATTTTTTTTCAAACAATAAGAAAAACAATTGATTAATTGAGTTTTTGAATAAGAAAGCAAAACAGTTTTTGCAATTATAATGTGTTAATTAATATTTGACGACTTCATAATAATAATTGGAGTTTTGATAACAAATGCATTTACAATAATATTAAGAAAATAGTATATATGTTTGTTTGGTGATTACATAATGTGGCTTTCATTATTATATATTTAGGGTTTTGGTTGATCCAGTTAGTTTTGTTTCCATCAAAAGGATAAAGAAATGGACAATGATAAGGGAAAAGCGACATGGGATCCTTACACGACAAAGATTCTAATCGATGTTTGTGCCGAGCAAATAGTGCACAAGGAACGACAAGGAACATCATTTACAAGGCCTGGTTGGGGAAAAATTGAAAAGAACTTTCAAGAAAGGAGCGGGAGAATGTATGATAGAAGGCAATTGAAGAATAGATTTGATATATTGCGAAAAGATTGGAAATTGTGGGATAAACTGATGTCTGGAGAGACTGGGATTGGTTATGATGTAGCCACAAATAGGATTTTGGCCTCCGATGAGTGGTGGCAACGAAAATTACTGGTAATTATTTCCGTTGGTTGAGTTTTAATTTTGAATATCCGTTACGACTTTGTTTGATTTTGCCTAATTATGTTAATGTAATGTAGGTTGACCCTAATTTCAAGAAATTTAGATATCAGGGGTTGATGTTTGCATCAGAGCTGCAGAAAATATTCAAAGATGTTGTGGCTTCGGGAGAGTATATGTATGCACCATCAGCCTCACAGCCCCAGTCGACACCTGTGACACAGGCTGGTACAGAAGAGGAGGAGGATGTTTATAGAGTTGGCCTGGACCAACAGGAAGGGTCAGGGGACAGTGAAGATGAAAATTTTGGAGTTGACCCAACAGCCAATGCAGGATTCACCGATGACTTTGCCGGTTGCAACTTAAACACCCCTGCGAGTACTGGACCAAGTGGCTCAGGAAGCTATGGAAAGAGGAAGAGGGGTGAGACGTCTGATGTAAAGAAGAAGAAAAAAGTTGCCGCGTCTACTCAAAATTTCTGATAGTCTTAGTGTTATAGCAGCTGCTTCTGACAAGCGAGCAGCAGCACTGGTTGAAGATCCCCAAGTAGTTGACAAGGTTTTAGCACACCTGACTACCGTTGAGGAGCTTAATGATGACAATCAACTATATTATGCATGTGCCAAGATGCTTACGCGGTTGAGGTGGGCTAGGCGAGCCTATTTGGGGTTTATGCATGATAGAAGGAAGTTGTTGGCGTGGTTAATACCGGCAGCACAAGATCCAGACACATGGAAGTAGGCACCTCTAGAATAGGATTTAGTTTAGGATGTTAACTTGAAATGTTTGCTGTTTGAACCTGAACTGATGTGACTTGTTGTAGGAACTTTAGTAATGACTATGTAATATATTTATGCTAATTTCTAATTGTCATCTATGTGTTTGGTTTTTCTGTTTGCAGTGTGAAAATTATTTACATGGGGTTTAGTGTAGTCCTTATAATGCTTACACTTTGTTGTTATTATAGTTACAGGGTTAACTCCAGAAATGGCTAATTAGAATGATGATTCACAGTGGAATGAAGATACTTTGAGGGATTGGAATGATGATTCACCGTGGAATGAAGATACTTTGAGGGATTGGAATGATGATTCACAGTGGAATGAAGATGACCATTCAAGACGGTTATCCATGATTAATGAGGAATTAACACAATATGAAGCAGTAGGTGCATTGGTTGGTCATTACTGTGAAATGTATATGTTTAAACAACCCTGTAGAACTAGTGAGCAAACAGGAAATTTATGGGTACAAGACATTATGAATGGGCATGATGATCGATGTCCTGAAATGTTTAGAGTGGATAAACATGTTTTCCACCTCTTATGTACTAAATTGGAGGAACATGGTTTGCGAAAGTCTAGGTACATAGGAATTGAAGAAGTGGTCGCGATGTTTTTAAATACGATTGCACATGGACAATGTAATAGGATGATCCAGGAACGATTTCAACGTTCAGGGGAAACTGTAAGTAGGCACTTTCACAATGTACTACAAGCTTGCCTTAGCCTATCAAGTGAACTTATTCGACCTGTAGATCCTACATTTCGTGGAACTCATAGAAAAATTGAGAATGATCCACGTTATTATCCATTTTTTAAGGACGCAATCGGAGCAATTGATGGTACTCACATACCGTGTGTTGTCCCCGCTGCAAAACGAGATAGATTTATTGGCAGAAAGGGAAATCCATCACAAAATGTCATGGCTGTATGTGATTGGGATATGTGTTTCACTTTTGTCTTGGCAGGATGGGAGGGATCTGCACATGATGCTCGTATATTTGACAGCGCTATTACAAATTCATCTCTAAATTTCCCTCATCCACCTCCAGGTATATGTTTATATGTTCCAATCATGCACGTTTTTAATTATTTTATATTTTCATTCATTTCATAACGTCTGAAATTGTTTCATGAATCTTTAGGGAAATATTACTTGGTTGATGCGGGATATCCAACACCAAATGGATATCTAGGTCCATACAGATCTGAGCGCTACCACCTTCCGGACTTCCGACGACAAGTAGGATTCCGAAATAGTAACGAAGCCTTCAATTATTATCATTCCAGTTTAAGGTGCACAATAGAAAGAACATTCGGTGTCTGGAAGAATAGATTTCAAATCCTACGAAATATGCGCAGTTACGACTTCCAAACACAAGTGTACTTGGTTTGTGCAACAATGGCCATTCATAACCTTATAAGGAGACATTCAAGCTCTGACTTCTATTTTCAACAAGCTGAAGATGGTAATGTAATTGGCGAACATGATCAGACTGAAGCTAGTCAACCATCACCTTCAAATGTCAATTCACAGTCTTCATCTCATATGAATCGCGTCCGTGATGCAATCAGAGACCAAATTATCCATAGCTTATCAATTAATTAATTATGTAATATTATTATTTCATTTCACTTTGTCGCAATACTACTAATTGGAGTTCAAAACAGTTTTATCCGTTCAAATTATGTTTTGCTTTTATTTGCCTAATATTTTTTATGATTTCTCTAAATTTTTCAATTTTAATTCACTCTAAATTTCACCTCTTCATTATATTATCTCAATTCTTTTTTTTTCATGTTTCACTTTATATTTCAAATATTTTTTGATTTTTTTAAAATTTTATAATTTAATCCACTCATTAAATTTTATTTCTTCATATTATTTTATTTTAATTTTATTGTATTGTCTTAAATCAATTTCTCATCATGTTTCATTATTTATTAAAACTCATGCCCATTTTGGTAATTTTTCAGCCAAAATTACTTTTACTCAACTATAATCCAAACAAGCTTTTTCCAATCTCATTTTTGTAAACTAGCTTGTCTAAACTCCAATCTAAACACAATTCAGCTTATCCAATTTAACTTTTACCAACTTCACTTTTTCATAAGCTACTTTTTCTATAAGCTACTTTTCCAATCGCTGATCCAAACGGACCCTAAGTGGAGGTGACTTATTTTATTACTTAACCCTATGGTCAGAGTCTCCCAAAGATCTTAATATGGCTCAGATAGATGATAGTATTCCAGGGTCATCATGGATCCTGAAGAGGCTCACGGTAGAGCGCAGTAGCTCCTAAGGTCACAGTGAACCGAGCCTAAGGGAAGTAGCTGAGCCATAAGAGTAAGAGTATAGTATCTCTTTGGGAAGATGAAAACCAGGGATGAGTTTAAGATACAGAAACCTCCTTCAGTGGTAAATCAGTACAGAGAGAGTACCCATGGCTTTCTTTCAGATAACCTTATTATTGATTAGGCTAAGCTCAGTTTTCTTCCGATTAAAAGAGGAAAGCCAAAGTTAGAAAATTTAGAGCTATAAGACCTGAACAAGAGGTATTCAGGCTAGCTCCAAATAGAGGAAGAACCCCTTGTGATATAGTGACAGACTGAGTATCGACAGGTAAATCCCTAAGAAGGGGTTAGAGTAGGGAATGTAAGCTAGAAAGACCCGACTAAAGGTAGAACAAGAAGGGTCTAAGACAATAAAGTACTAGGGTTCGAGCCTATCAGTATCAATGCCTTAGATTCCTATTAGCACTGTTTAGCTAAGTGTGTGATTCTCAAAACCTATTCCAGACCTTGGAGGTTAAATCAAAATATTTATCCAAGGATTGCACTATAGGGTGCAACCTCGGGTCGTTTCACTTAAACTGAGCCTTAATGAAATGGACCTAAGCTAACTTAATGTCATGCAATGCAAACTTGAACATAAACAGGGGGTTTTGGTTTTTCAAAATCATTAAGTGAATTGAACTGAATGATCAACAAAATATTTTTGGATTTTAGGGAAATAAGTAATGAATGATGATAAACAGATAACCAAACAATAATGAAGATCCTCTTGAAAGTGTGCTCAGGCTGTCATAGATCAAAATCAATTGATATGGGAGTAGAAATCACTAAGTTTCAAAATGATAAACCTTAAAGTACTCTTTAAGTCCAGAATCTTAATCAATGAACTCTATTTCTCAAGATCCTGTGAAGTGCTCTGAGTGTGTGTAGAAAGATTGATTAATGTAACAAGTCAAATACAGTCAAAATCAACTCAATACCAAGACACAACCGTGTAAGAGTAGAGAGAATCAAAAGATCACAACTGACATGCATGATACTTCATATATTTAAGTTCAAAAGTTCTACAATAACCAATCCAGTGCACAAATAAATATCCAAAACTGATTACTACTATAATCAGGTAGTTTAGCTACAAATTACAAATCCTAAACCTAGAAATTAATAAATTCATAGCTAAACTAGGATTAATCTACTCCACTTCTTAGCTCATAGAACTCTGGCCATTGCTACACTTTCAAGAGGAATGAAAATGCCTAGCCACACATAGAAATCTGAAGCATCTCAACTGGGAATGAATATGAGCTTCCCATGGTAGAGGTTTGATAGTGGAAAATAGATGAAATTAGGGTTCGATGAGAGAAAGTTGAGAGAGAACAGAGATGGAGGCTGTTGTCCAAGTGAATGATGTCACTTGCACAAAAATAGAGTTTTTAAACCGGTAATGAGGTGTACTGGGTCGGTTTGTGTAAGTGGGTAGGTAAAATTTCTGAAAATGGTTTGGGTCTGGGTTGTTGATTTGAGGGTTTTGTCGTGGTAAAGGTATGGTTTCCCCGCACGAACCATGGCCGAGAGCTCTTTTGCTTACTGATGTGTCTTCGCCGTTGGCCGCGGCGAACCTTCCCGGAGGAATCTTTAGGCAGAAAATCCTCGCTTCGCCATGACGAAACATGAGTTGGCCGCGATGAAACCTGGCAGAGGCGTTGTTGTGTCTTGTGTGTTGCACTTCCTTAGTCTTCACTCTTGGCTCTCCTTCTTGAGTGTCCTGAAATAAAAAGCAATAGTTTGAGGTATCGATTGTCTTAAAAATCAATTGAATGCAATTAATGAATAAATATGACAACTTTACCCTCAAACAACACTAACTTAAAGCAAAGACTCTCAATCTTAATTAAGCTTAAGTATCATTAAAATGAGCCAAAAAATGTAACAAAAACTTGGAAAATGCCATTAAGTAATATAAAGAATTTGAGTTCAATCAAATTCCCCCACACTTAGACCTTTGTACTCCTGGACAAAGCTCAAAAATAATTCAAAAAGATACCAGTACGATGAGAAATACTAACATGCTTAGAGATGAGAGTAGAAAATTTAGTAAGAAATCCCTACGGAGATTGACAACAGTAAAACAATGATATGCTAAGAAAGTAAACACTATGGGTATTTAATCCAAAAGATTGAGCAAAAGAGATTTATCTCAAGGGTATGTGTTTAGCTCTCAACCCACTTGTCTTGGGGTTATTTCACTCTAAATCTGTTCAGTCCAATCTCTACCACAAGCTTGTGATAATTCTACCTTTCCACTACAAGAACCGCATATTGCAAATCAAGAGGACTTTAGGGTTAGTAAATGTTAGTGAAGTTCAAGTGAAATGGATGGAATAAAAGAGAAAGAGGAATTGAGTACAAGCATAACAATTATTCTATCCACGAAACAAACATAAACGTTCCTGAAGAAAGGAGTTAAAATTTTTTTTTAACATACCAACTCCCTTTTCTTTTCATTTCTCTCTCTTTCTTTTTTTCTTTTTTTATTTATTTTATTTCTTTTTTTGGCTTTTCTCACACTTTTTGTTAACATAAAACCAAGGCCAAAATATAATAAAATATTTACAATTTATTTGTATGCATGTACTCAAAGTGAAGGTCCAAAGGGGTTGGCAA